GAGGTCCCTTGGGCACAAGGAAGAAATGGCTGGGGCCACAAGGATGCCACAAGGAATTTTCCTTGTGGCGTTTTCACATTTCTTTTTCAATTTCGTCCCCAAGGACAGGTGGAAAGAGCACGTCCATGTGGATTTCACGTCCCCAAGGAGTGTCTAACGAGGCCCTCTATCCCTGGACTATCTACCAACAGCTCATACTGCTTCATAGGTGCAGTATTCACATGGGTTGGGCAACCAATATTGGGAAGAGATTCAAGAGAGTCTGAACAACTGCAGACTTCTCACCATGCCAATTTCCAACTTGAAAGCTAGCCATGTAGGAACATAATTTGCCAGGATCTGCACCGGGACATGTTGCCGAGGTGCATTCTGACCAAGATACTTTTATCATTTTGTTTTCCAATAAATTTTATATTTATATATTTTTATTATTTTATATAAATATATATATATATATATATAGGGCAGTGGTTGGTGCCCACCTCAGGGTATCGGTGTGTTGGGCAGTCGTTGAGGTTTAACCACAACCGGGGTTAAGGTGGATCATCACTTACAGTGTAATCAGTTAGGGGATTCTGCAGGCTGTTGAGGGTTAAGGCTCCTGATGAGTCCCTGAAACTCCGACGAAACAGTTTGTCACGTCCCCTCGTTTGCTGTCCTCCCCTCTTCTCCCTCTCTGCCCCTACGGTTTACCGGGCAGCTCTGTTTGTCGATATACATATATATATATATATAGTGAAAAGAATGCTGCTAAAAGATGCAAAAGAACTGATTCAGGAAAACTATGGGATATCAAACGAACAAAAGGTAAACAAGAACGAAGTAAAGCTGCTTTAATTGCTTTGCTTGGAGCACTGTGGATTCCGAAGAGAAAAGAACGAAGTCACTTGATGAGCTGTTGGGAATGGAGACTGCAGTAAAATCTCTAACATCCTGAGGGATAGACAGATTAGTCGGGGAATTCTCATTGGAGCATTGACCCAAGAGCCTAGAGGTGTCTGCTCTTCTCAGCAGCACTAACACTGGCGGGGCCATGTTAAAAAAAAAAAAAAAAAAAAAAAAAAAAAAAAAAAAAAAGAGCCTGGCTCAGTGGGTACACCCATGAACTCTTGAAATAGGGACCCCAGTTCGAATCCAGATAATGGAACCTGATTGATGAGTAAGGCCAAATATTTCTGAATTGCCTGGGGCTGGTGAGCTCAATGATGATATCTTAATAAACCCAAGAGTTTGGTTAAAAAAAAAAAAAAAAAAAAAAACTTTGGTTACTGGGTGGCCAACCTCACGCCCCGCACAGTGTCCCATACCCATGGGGCCGCCAATCAGAGTAGGTGGGAAGTGGCGGAGGATTTAGGGCGGGGGAATGAACGGCCAGGGAAAAACTGGGGTTCTCCCCCCTCAGATGTGAGGGCTCTTCGGAAAAAAACCTGCTGGAAAACGGGTCCAACCTCCCAGAATTTATTTATTTTTTTAATTTTTTTTTTTCCTTTGGGACAAAAGCTCCAATCTATACGTGGGGAGCATCACGTGCTGAGAAATGGGCTCAGCGTCCCTTTGAAATACAACTGAGTCGTGGCATGAGCTTTGCCTGGCCGGAGTGCCTCGCTCAGCTCAGGGCTGCGGCGACTTTTTGTAAGGGACGCCGGGCCCGTTTCCCGGCTTGATGTTAATAAAGCTTGATCTTCTTCCTAAAAAAAAAAAAAAAAGAAATACAACTGAGTCCAACCTCCCAGAACATTGTATCCATTGAGGAACATCTGAAAGAAAGATATAATCTTCGAAATTGCAGAAATAGAAAGAGGGCAAAGTCGGACAACCTCAAAACCTTTCCCCTCTAAAAGAAATATACCCTCCCCCAGAAGAAATGTAACTAGCACCTAATCTACATCAGGTTCAAGCCGCCCTTTTCGTGGGGACCAAGGAGAAAAAAGATGCCTCACGCGTCCAAATCAGGCCAAGGTCGCCCGTCGGATAACCCATGTTGCGGGAGAGATCAGGGAAGCGGATGGACCCTTCTTATCCCAGCACCAACCTCCGCCAGGAACACCAGTTCCCAGGCTGACAGTTAAACCACTAGTTCCTCTGGCAGTGCTGGGAAAATAGGAAAAACTGGCTGTTTTCCCAATGTCCCCGAAGAGTTCGGAGGTTCCAGAGGCTTGGCAGGAAAATAATGACAATAAAAAAGGCCTGAAAGGCCATCCTGTCCAGATTCGACAGGTAATTGAATTGGTTAGCCTTGATAAAAAAAAAAAAGTATTTTTTTTAGATTGCCCACACACGAAAGGCAAAAAAAAAAAAAAAAAATCTCTACTGCAATGATGTAGGACAGGGTAGTCTACGAGGCCGTCCTCACAGTAGTCCTCCACAGAATG